GTCGTTTTTTTTCATCTACTCACATGGATGAAAAAAGCAATGACGTGCTGCTTTTGTGTCACACTGCTGGTATGGTAAAACACAAAACATTACGTTCCAAGGTGAGACTACTAATTTTTAAAGCAAAAAGCGAAATTTAAGTAGTTTCAAAGCATAATGTGACGTTTCCCTATAATATATTCAAGCATGGATCATTCCTTGGTGGCGGAAGAGCAAAGACGCGCTCCCGGGGATAATCTCCTCTATGCCGAGCAGGGGACCTAACCTTTGTACCTGGAATAGAAAAACAATGACAGCATTCAATTCACTCACTCATTTCATTTCTTTCCCCTCGTCCACCTAAATGTATTTAGACCTCTATAAGAATTAGAGTTTTTTGAGACATATTTTGCAACAGCACTGTTTAGCTACATAAAAAAAACGTGTTTTGGAGAATTTTTTTTATGGCGTTAATTTTATTATAAAAGATTTATTTACTGTCACAAATACTATTTGAGATAGTAGTTTGCCGCCACAAAGACTTTTTGACACAACATTGAATACATTCACTCATTTCATTTCTTTACCCTCTTCCACCTAAATGTATTTAGACCACTATAAGAATTATGATCTTTTGATACAAGTTTTTTACAATGGCGGTGTTTACCTTCACAAAAGTGTGTTTTGGAGAAATTTTTTTTATGGGTGGTGATACTATCATAAAAAGTTTATTTGTTACCACAAATACTATTGGAGATAACAGTCGTTGCTGCCACAAAAGACTTTTTGAGATTATAATTATTATGACCAGGCATACTGTCACAACACTTTTGCCGTAATAAGTAGAGTCTCAAAAAAAAATTTTGACTGCAACATCCCGTCTCAAATAATATTTCCGGTAGCAAATAAATTTTTATGACAGCACCACCGCCCAAAAAAAAAAAAAAAAACTTCTTTTTTCTCTAAAACACACTTTTTTGTGATGGAGAACACTGCTGCAGCAAAAAAAACTTGTCTCAAAAGACCTTAATTCTTATATTAACAAAACGATTTTAGAAATTGAATATCCAAATTGAGACAATTAAAGTTTACAAGACATTTCAAAAAAAAAGAACATAATATAAGGGTTTTATTTATGATATTCATCCAAACATTAAACTACACCATATTCCTCCACACACACAAGTAACACCCTAGCTATCTCCCTCCGGCATAAACTTGAAATGTGAAAGACCATGGAGGAGGCAAAACTTACCATTTGTGCTAGGGTTGGATGTTTCAGCTAGTTCCCTTGCAGTCACTACAGCAGAAAACATAAGCATAATTATCAAGAGAACTTCCCAAACTTTGAAAATCTTCCTAGAAGAAGCCATTTTATTAGGCCTTTTCTTTTTCTTTTGGGTTGTTTTATTTGTGGTGGTGGTGGTGGGTGGGTGTGTGTGTGTGTGTTGGGGAGGGGGGGGGTGGTTAGCGAGAAGCACGTTTAGGACTTTATATACCAAGTTGAACTCCTAAGTCATTCGTTATTGTTTATTTTGTAATATAGATATTTATGTCATTAAAGGTAAATTAGTCTTTATATGTTTAATTTTCCTTTCAGCCTAAAAAAGAACGCGCCTGTTTTTCTTTTCCCAAAAGTCCACAATTTTAAACCGCCTCTAAAAAGTCTAATATTTATCTATTATATTAGAAATGAATTAAGCTTTAGTCTTGACAATCAAGCCATGAGGTATTTATCCCTCATGACTACCATAATTTCGGTGTGGATAACTTGTTTTTAATCAAATCGGCTAGAAAATTAATTGAGGTGCACATAAACTAACTAAAACACCCCTAATTATTGAATTAAAAAAAAAAGGAATTAAGCTTTAGCCTACCAAACAAAGAGGCACAGCTCATGTTGAATATGAAAGGAGAGCTTAACAATTTGAAAATTTTACAAGCGTGTCTGCTGTGTTGAATATTTGATTCTTATTTTGTCCAAGTGAAGTCTTTTCGGTTTTTAAGTCTGGCAGATTTTTGGGATTCTTCTTTGATTGAAATCAAATTGGAAGTTTGGCAAAATACACTTTGTATTTTAATGATGACGACCCTCTCAAAACAGAAATATATTCAACTCATTCTTATACTATAAATTTCAATTATTTGTAAATCACAAATATCAGTTCATCCACAATTGTTGAACTCAAAAATTCTGAGTTCGTGGCACACTCTACGCTTCTCTTTATTTTCTATAGATCTTTTCTTTTTTTGTTATAGACTTAAAATTATAATAACCGACTATTCATATGCTAACTAACGATGTAACAATGATATTGTCCAATGATTTTGTTGTGACAACAACTTTTTTGATTTAATCATTGGGACTCAATCTTTTGACACGTTATTAGATCAGTAAATTAAATCAAATATTTTAAATCTCAATAGCATATGTGTATCAACTTAATAAAGTTATTGAACATCGTCCGAATTCAGATCATCTGTAATATACTTTATCTTCAATTCTCTTCTTGGGACATTATCTATCCTTGATGAATGAAGGATCTACTTTTATACAATGGATCCTAGTTGAATATATAATAAATAATATTTTAAAAAAAAACTTTAAAAAAATATATACCGTAGAGGATACCACTCCAAATGGAAGTCCCTTGCGTATGAAAAAGGCAACAAGAATCTGACTATACCATCAACCATTATTTCTTTTCTGTTTAGGTGGTAGGTATAGCCTATTTTTCAACTGAATCGTACTATTCAATTTAATTTGTGTGGCCAATAGAATTTTGCCCCTGAAATATTTTTAAAATTTTCTATTTTGTTTCATCTGAGTTAAAAAAAAAAAATCTTACCTTGACCCTTAAAGTTTGCAAATGTGTAACAACATTCCCCAACACATCATTTCAATATTTTGTCCTCAAAGATTATGTAATGCTATTGGACCTATTTCCGGGTTTAATTTGAAAATCTAATTCAATATAACCATTAAATCAATTGTGAGTTTCGATAGCAGATGGCGTCGCCTTTTAATCCAACAAGTATAACTAATTAAGTTTAAATATCATTTTTCAAAAAAACAAGGCTGAAAATTGAGTCAAGTTACTCGAGCTTGGTTTGGATAAGACTCGATGTCGGGCTCGACTCGTGTTCTAAACGAATCGAGTTTGAATAAAATTTTAGACTCATTTAGAAGACAAAGCTTATAAAACTCGACTCATTTGTATATAAAATAGTCGAATTACTTAGATTCAACTTGACTTGGCTCGGACAAAACTTATTTTTTAAATGAGCTGAAATTGAATAATTAATTAGGCTCATTTAGAAAAATAAGCTCTACAAACTTGGTTCGATTACCAATCCTACTTAAAATTTGGTTCATCTAAGTCAGGCACGTGCTACATGGGATGTCAATCAATATATACAAAATGTGGCACATTATACTAGTTGGGGGCATATGGCTACAGCATGTCGAAGAAATTCAGGGTAAAATATGTTATTTCTAATATTTGAGTTGACAAAATAAAAAATTTTAAAAAATTCTAGGGTTCAAGATGGCATTCGGGTACAAAGTACAATTTATTGAACATAGCTCTCTCTCCGGTCTTCCGGCATCTCTTTCAAAAATTAAAGTCTTCATATTAAAAGGCCTATCAAGACCAGAAATCTTTCTTTGCCATCATTCCTTGCATCTAAAGTCCGGGCGGCATCTCTTTCCATTTGAATGAAGAATTTTACTTGTGGGGCTAATTTTGCCCTACAAATTTTAAATTTTCTATTTTGTTTCATCTGAGTTAAAAAAAAAAAAAACTTACATTGACCCTTAAAGTTTGCAAATGTCTAACAACATTTCCCAACACATCATTTCAATTTTTAGTCCGTAAAGATTGAGTAATGCTTCAATAATTTTATTTGACAGTCTTATGTAGACTCATCCAATGATCACTAACATCTCTCTCAAAATCATTCACATTGTATCATACCTTCCAGAACAGGTTACCCAAAATGTGACGCAAGAACTGCTTGTTGAAAAAATTCAAGGTACAATATGGTATTTCTAAAATTTGAGTTGACAAAGTAAAAAATTTCAAAAAATTCTAGGGTACAAAATGGCATTCATGTACAAAATAGTATTATTGAACATCGCTCTCTCCGGTCTTCCTGCATCTCTTTCAAAAATTAACGTCTTCTTGCATACTAATAGACCTATCATGACCAAAAATCTGACTTTGCCATCACTCCTTACATCTAAAGTCCGAGTGGAAATTTTTTTCCAATTGAATGTGGAAGTCAATTTGTGGGGGCTAATTTTGCCCCACAAATTTTAGATTTTCTATTTTATTTAATCAAGGTAAGAAGAATTTACATTGGCAGGTATCATTTAGATTTTTGTCTTGTAAGATTCTATTTTTATAATATAACTTGACCATTGAAAGACTTTAACCCCTTGTTTGATGTGATGGAAAGTAGGGTGAATAGAAAATAATGGAAAGAAAAATAGATGGAAAGAAATATTTTTCACTGTTCCAAAACTCCTATGTCTAAGTGGGTGTAACAACATTCCAAGTGTGGAAAGCAAATACTGCACCCTCTAAAAAATAATTTTTCAAAACCATGTACATGTCACGTGGGATGTCAACATACGAAAAGTGTGACACCATTTAGTAATTGGGACATATTGCTACTATTTGAAGAAATTCAGGTTGCAAACCAATAGATAGCCAATGGAGACAAGAACGAATTATAATTCCAGATGACTTGAGTTTAAAACTTGACTACTCATTTGAGGTCAAATATTGATAAATTTATCTCTCATTAATTCTTTAGTTCTGATATGAATGATCAACTTTTGATCAGATTGAAGAGAAAATTAGTCAAAATGTACAAAAACTAGTTCAGAGATCTGTTATAACCACAATAATGCTATTGGATATAGCATGGTTAAGTCAACAAATATTAAATTATGTCTTAATAACATTACTCCTCTAACTCTCCTTATAGATTGCTTTGAGTGCTCTTTCAAAACAGGACCCAAAAAAGCAAAGCCAGAGAACTATGGCAAACCCAGTGAAATATCAGTGTCTTGCAATTGCTGCTTGGGTAGTTCTTCTGTTACCTTTTTGCAGGGCAGAACCAAGTCAAAACACAGAAGCTGAAGCTCTTCTCAAATGGAAACAAAGCCTTGGAAACCAATCGATTATGAGTTCATGGGTCAATCCAGCAAGCAATAATTCTACAGCTTCAAACCCATGCAAATGGCTGGGAATTACTTGCAACAAGGTTGGCAATGTAATTGAACTGAACCTGGCATACACTGGTTTACAGGGTACCCTTCTCCATTTAAATTTCTCTTCTTTTCCAAACCTACTACGCCTCGACCTCAAATTCAACAAGCTCACTGGCCCCATACCTGCCGATATCGGAATGCTTTCCAACCTCCAATTCCTTGATCTTTCCACAAATTCTCTCAACGGAACAGTTCCGATATCTCTTGGCAATCTTACCAAGGTTGTTGAGATCGATGTGTCCCGAAACGGATTAACCGGAAAACTCTGGTCAGGCTTGTTCCCTGACGGGACAAGCCCGGCCAAAACTGGCCTAATTAGTCTCCAAAGACTTCTCGCCCAAACTACCATGCTTGGTGGGCGTATTCCATCTGAAGTAGGAAATATGAAGAATTTGGAAGCACTAATTCTAGATAATAACTACTTTTTTGGTCCCATTCCCCCATCTTTGGGCAACCTAAGCAAGCTGGATACTTTACGCCTGAACGAAAATCAATTTTCCGGTAATATCCCCAGGAATTTCGGAAGCCTGAAATTGATTGATTTGCGCTTGTTTATAAACAAATTGTCCGGTCCAATACCAGAGGAAATAGGAAATCTATCATCATTAGTGGTCTTTTCTTTGGCGGTGAACAACTTTTCTGGTCACTTACCACAACAAATGTGTAGAGGTGGAAAGCTTGTAAATTTCACTGCAGCCTTCAACAATTTCACTGGACCTATCCCAAAAAGCCTGAAGAACTGCACAAGTTTATACAGAGTCCGTCTTGAAAATAACACGCTAACTGGAAATGTGGACCAAGATTTTGGAGTATATCCAAACCTCACTTACATTGACCTGAGCTATAACAGATTGCGAGGCAACATCTCATCAAAATGGAGCGAATGCCAGAATTTAACAGTATTAAAGATTGCGGGGAATATGATTGATGGAAAAATCCCAGAAGAGATTGGTCTATTGAAGAAACTTGGTGAGCTTGATCTCTCGTATAATCAACTCTCTGGAGAAATACCCACACAAATTTTGAAGCTATCTGCCTTATCCTCTCTAATCTTGAACAACAACAATTTTTCGGGTTACATTCCTATGGGAATCGGAGGACTTCCTGAGCTGCAAAAGCTTCATCTATCATCAAACATGCTTATAGGGCGAATTCCAGATCAAGTAGGGGATTGTTTCAGATTGTTGTCTTTGAATTTGAGTAATAATCTCTTAAATGGTACCATCCCTCATAATATTGGTACTCTTTCAGCCTTACAAAATTTCCTTGATCTGAGTCACAATTTACTTAGTGGAGAGATACCACCCCAGCTTGGTGACCTCAAAGTTTTAGAAAATCTGAATCTCTCCCACAATAACCTTACTGGTACAGTACCCGATTCACTTGGTAAAATGCTCAGCTTGTCAGCCATTGACTTGTCCTACAATTGTTTAGAGGGTCCTCTTCCTGACAGCAATGCCTTTCGTTCCTCTCCACCAGAAGCTTTCTCAAATAACAAAGCTTTATGTGGCGAAATTCATGATTTGAGGCCGTGTAATTCAACATCTGCAAAAAGGAATGCCAGAGATACAGATCACAAACTTATGATAATTGTTGTTTCTGCAGTAGGCTCATTATTCTTTGCCATAGTGATTCTTGGATGTATTGTAGTTTACTTCTGCAAATATCGAAGGAATCAGCAAGAAGATGAGTATCCTTTGAGGAGTAAAAACCTCTTTTCAATAAGGAATTTTGATGGGAAAGTCGCGTATGAAGACATCATCAATGCCACAGATGATTTTGACGACATCCATTGTATCGGGGTAGGAGGATCAGCCAAGGTTTATCAAGCAAAGCTACCGAGCGGTCAAGTAGTGGCAGTGAAAAAGCTGAGCTCCCCAACCGAAGGCATGGAGATTGAGGACTTGAAGAGTTTCACAAGTGAGATAGCAACTCTAACAGAAATCCGACATCGGAACATTGTGAAACTCTATGGCTTCTGTTCTCATGGGAGGCACAGCTTTCTGGTTTACGAGTTCATGGAAAGAGGAAGCTTGGCAAATATTTTAAGCAGTGAGAAAGGGGCAAAGGAGCTAGACTGGGCACAGAGGGTGAAAGTTGTTAAAAGTGTAGCATATGCTCTATCTTATATGCATCATGATTGCATGCCTCCGATCATTCACCGAGACATATCTAGCAAAAATGTTTTACTGGACTCAGAACTTGAGGCTCATGTCTCAGATTTTGGCACTGCAAGGTTCTTAAAGCAAGGTTCTTCAAACTGGACCACAGTGGCAGGCACATTTGGATACATTGCTCCAGGTAACTTTAACATACAGTCTGCAATCAATGTTATAAGCTGTCTTTAACATGCTGTACGTTTTTTAATACTGAGATGTAGGGGTGTCAACTTTACGTCCTAACACAAAAATGACACAAACCCGATAAGACACGAACCCGAAAATAACACGATTAATTAACATAAACAATAAACTGATCAATTTAGTGTTAAACTAAAACATGAATAACCCATTTATTGATCTTGTGAGAATATAATTATGATTTCTTATTTTTTATTTATTGATCTAATATAGAATGAATTGTTTTAGAATTAGTAAAATTTTCTATTGGCACGAATATGAAATGAAATATGACATGAAATCGAAATGACATAACACAAACATGACACGACACAACTCAATTGACACCCCTACATGGGGTGCAGCTTGTTTGTTCTTAAAGTGCCTTCATTTGAGTACTGAACTAACCTCTTTTCCATCCCTCTATTGCACAATTTCTGCGGCAGAATTTTCTTACACCATGGCTGTGACAGAAAAATGCGACGTTTATAGCTTTGGTGTACTTGCACTTGAAGTTCTGAAGGGATCACATCCACGGGAACTCATTCCCTCTCTGCACCCATCAGCCCGCCAAGGCATACAACTACAGGAGGAGTTAGATCCTCGTCTTTCATTTCCCAGAGACCAAAAGATTGTAGCAGATCTGGAAGCTATTCTGAAGCTTGCACTATCATGCTTGTGTGCTGATCCCAAATCTCGGCCCAGCATGCATGGTGTGTCTCAAATACTCGAACTCGAAATGAGGATGGGTAACAACTAGATACTCCTCTCTCTCTCTCTCTCTCTCTCTCTCTCTCTCTCTCTCTATACAAATAAAGATGGGTGATGTATTGAGGTATGTCTAAGCTCATCAGTGGATAAGGCATCTGGCAAGCATGTGCCCTACTTTGCTAACTGATTTCAACGTCAAACATAAAGGACTTGTGTATGGATTTCTTTGGTTCCATCATTCTTCAATTTGGTTTATAATTTTTAGTGTAACACTAGTTGGACCTAATTTGTTAGTCTAATTATTTATTGACATTATCGTGCCAAAAAAAAGAAAAACCATAGCATTGGGTAGTACCCACTACCAAACTAAGAACAATAATATATGAAGTCAACTAATTAGATTAACAAATTAAGTCCATATAGTACTATTGTAATTTTCTGACTTCATGAAAATACTAGCTTTTGAGTAATAATTATGTTTTACAAAATGTTTTTAGAATATAACAAGGCACACACATGCATCAACAAACAGTAGTTTGTATGTGTGTAGGAGAGGAGGAGAACGAGTATAATATTCTGACACACATGGCACCCTCTCGGTGTCCTCATTGTTAGGGTTGTCTTAGAAAATTCCTCTACCATTGAGAAGAGTTGAATAAGTCAAGAAAGTCGAACCACTATCAATTCTTGCATTGTCTTATTCTTAATTGTACTTATGTCTTAAGCGAGTAATAATTTTGTAAGCTATTTTTCAGTCGTTTAGGCAATCAAATTAGCAATCTGACTAGTTTGGGTAGGTTTTAGGACATTCATAATTTATCTTTGAAAAAATGAAATTAAATTCCCCCAATTGTCCTACAAACAGTATATGTTTCAATTTTATGAGGTTAGTTTGTAATTTCTAATTCTACAATTTCACTAATTTCGAATTCCTCCAAGGAACAAAACTCATGGCTCTGTCATTACCTAATTTTGTTTTTGAGCAAATTATATCTTTTTGGCATTGTATAAAACAATTTTCTCATTTTAAGAAAGTTTTAGAAAATGTCATAATTTATTTTAGCAAATTCGGATTTAAAGTCCACCAACTTTTCCTAGATTCCTATTGAGTTAGTCTCCTTCGAATGACAAATGATGTATCGGCCATGTTTGTTCAAGAACTTTTATTCTTGTGCTTTATTACTGAACCGATATCAACTCATCCTAGGCAGTATGCAACGATCTCTTTTGGTGTTGTCATCACTAATAATGACCATTGCTCATAGCCCCTTGCCTATTAAGTTGCATGTTTTTATAAACCAAAATGATCCTTATTGCCCTACCCCATCTTGATTCCATCAGGTTGACTTGGGTATTTAGGATTCCATCCTTTGTGCCACGTGTCTCCATTTCATGGTATCACAAATTGTGTGGGTAAGAAAATGGTAGGGGTTGGAATTCAATATTACCATATCACCCACGTCAAATGTCACATATTTGGGGTGTCTCTCATTTTCAAGTCAAACATTTAGGGCATGTTTGATTCTGGTACTAAATTACCATGGTTGGATCAAATTATAGGGTTGGGACTTATAACACCAGTCCAATATTGTAATATCAAATAACAACACGTATGCTACAAACATTCCTATTCGATAGATAGGTGATATAAAGTCAAACCTGATCGGTGCTAGGATAAAATTGACAAGAGGACACTCGACTTGGTAATAGATTCACAACTTATTCCAACCTTGAAGCAAAAATGGTATTGATATGATGTAACTAGATCATGACTATGTCCGAAGATATCGTGTAACTAAAAAATTGACCATTACAAAAATAAATGGGCATTAATAAGAGAAAAAAGGCACACATAATGCATTTAGTAGACCAAATAAGTTTCTGCACACAATAAACACCAAAACAATTTGGACAGAACTTGCTCTAAAAAACAAGGACCTGTTTAGTTTGCATATCAAAAAACAGCATCTGAAAATTTTTAGATCGTAAAACCTGTTTGGTTATATATTTTTGAAAATAGTTTTAAAGAACAAAAAAATAGTAAAACGTATTTTGACAATAATTCATAAAATCAATTTTTAACTTATCATTTTTGATAAAAAAAAAATTATCACACCAGGCAATTACGGCCATCGACTTCTCACCCAACAACTCTCTCTCTCCATTATCCTTTCACACAAGGCTCTCTCCTCACGCAACAACCATTTCTCTACTACCTTCTCACCCAACAAAAACACACAGCCATATATATATACACACACATAGATATATATATACTCACATACATCACACAATACATATGTATATAAATATACACACACATAGATATATATATACTCACACATACATCACACAATACATATGTATATATATATACACACACATAGATGTATATATATATATATATATATATATATATATATATTAGTAATTACCCGTGCCTGAAGGCACGACATAACGAAAAATAAAATTAAAACTCGAAGAATCCTACATTACGTAAAGATTCTTTGTAACCTAAAACAATCTGTCAATTTGAAATCAAGGTAGTCCATACTAATATCCAGAAATTTTGGCATAATTTTCTCTAAATATAGGAACTCATAACAATCATCATAATTCACCATATCACCACAATAATCAATAGATATCCAATCATCAACACATATCCAACCACCAAAACATTAAGCTAGTCCTTACTAATTTCAAGGAATTTGGGCAGAATTTTCTCTAAAAATAGAAGCCAAAAAAAATCTAAACCTATCTCTAAAACTTACAATTATACATATCATCATAATCACCATAATCATGTTTATCCAAATCACCAAAACAAAACCATCATAACCATGTATAATTAGTTAACTATACAAAAGACGAAACACAAAAAATACACACATGCACAAATAGAGAAACACCTTCAACTTCATCTTCATATCCTTCCTTGTATACCTGAAAATATTTGAAACATATCAAATTATCGAAATATGTGAGGCAAAATAAAATAATTTTAAATCCGAAACATAAGACCCCTTACTTTTATCGTTAGTTGGATTCAACATAAAATTGATAATTATAACACTATCCCAAATTTTATCACAAGTGCCACAAGCACATTTTAGATAAATAAGCAAGTATGTTTCCTAGAATATGAGATGAAAAATGCGAGTGATCTTGGTTAGTGGAAAACTATCTCACTCAGCAAGACTTTGGAACCAAATAAACCCACAATCTTTTTTTCAACTGTCAAACAAAAACCAACTATTTTTTAGTGAATCACCAACAAAATTGGGATTTTAAGGGAAAAGAAATGAAATAAGAGGAAAAATTGTCTTACTTGTGTAATAGTGTCATGTGAAATTGTGCACTCCACCTAGCTCATGTTCCACCCACCACTTTCTTTGCTATCCACTAACCACCAACCATACTTTCTTTGCTATACACCAGCCTCTAAATCCAAAAATTCTCGAAAGACCACTAACCACCTTCACTTCAATACCACTTCCACTAAGTTGTGGCATACCCCTATTTTGTGTGTGTGTGTGTTGTTATGTATGATGTGTGCCTGTGTTGGGTGTGTATGTGTGTTGTGTTGTGTTGTGCGTGTGAGTACAGAGAGGTGAAAAGAAATAGTCAAAGATAGGGGTGGAACGGGAGTTACCTGTGGTGGTGGCAGCGAATGTAGTATGTTCGTGGGTCTTTGAGAAATTTCATCGAACACGTGGTAACTGTGGTAAAGGGTAATATGAGTGTGTTGCTATGTGTGTGTTCTGTGGGTGGGTGGGTAGGAAAACAAAGTGTTTAGGGAGAGAGGGTGTGTGTGAGTGGTGCATGATGTATGGTGTATTTTGTGGATGAACAACTAAGAAGATAAAGAGAATAGGGGGAGAGAAGTAGACTAACCTTGGAGGGTGAGAGGGTTGCCCAAAGTTGCTTGATCTCTGCAGAGAGATGAGAGAAATGGGTGAAAGAGGTAGAGGATAAAGAACATGTGTTCTCTGTGTGAGAGAGAGAGAGATAGAGAGGGAGGGAAGAGGTTAGCGTACAGAGATGGGGTTAACAGAGTGAAGGGCGTGTGTGTGTAAGACATGCTGATTATGGGTGATGAGTGTGTAGAAGAGGGCAGATAAGAGGCGGGGGTAGAATGGGTGCACATTCTTTCCAACTGTGAACATCCATCTTCCAATTACCACTCCTATTGTTTATCAAAAAGTAAGAACAAAACCCTAACAATGAAATTACTGGGTTAAAGTTCTTAGCATTCCTGTGTAGAGGAGGGCCGAACGCCTTCATGCCTGCAAACCAAATGCCTTCCTGCCTGGTTAGGGGCAACTGTGGGTGGTTGTGGGTTGAGGGATCTAGAGAGATAGAGAGAAGGAGAATGGGGAAGGTTTGCTCAGCAAAAAGCAAGAAAAATCGCTAATTTTGCACTTAAAGTAGTGCCGCCATGAGAGAAACAATGTTGATATAAAAGGATGTAAATTAAAACACAATAAACAAAAAATTCCAACAAATTACAAATTCCTGATGATTTGGAGTAATCGACATTTATCAGACTTAATACGATGAAAAACACACCATGAAAGTGAAAAAAAAATATATGGAGGCAAAAAAGACAGAAAATTTTATCAAACTCACAACGACTAACATTAACACATATTTCAAATTAACACTAAAAGGAACAAAATATTATTAAATCACAATAGTATTATATTGAAAAAAACTCGACTTAAGGTAGTTGATATGAACAATTTATATTTTACTAATTTGTAAATGGTCAATAAGCGTTTGTTGTAACATAATAGATTTCAAATAATATGAGGTCTTTGAAAAGGTTAGATCGTAATTTTTTCTCCGGTGCAGAGAAATTGTTTGCAACTTGAAAGCGTGATGTGCACATCACAATAGATTAATTTTACTGCTAATATTTCAAGGTATAAAAGTAGATAGGTCACATATATTCTTCAGGTAAAATACGAAGTCCTTTTATGGTGACTGAAAGTTTCCTTGAAACATTACTCGCTAATCTAATATGAAATTAACACAAGAGTTAAC